AGAAGTCTGAAGCACTGAGCTCTTTTATTTCTTGCAATTATATAACTTATGTCTACCTTCGAGTTCACTCTACAATCAAACCTCTTTCAAATCCAAATGCTTCAGTTGCCAGAGAAATAATCCAGACTGTAAATAAAGAAAAGCCAATTTACTATAATCTGGCACCCAAAAAGTATAATGTGAATGATTTTCTGCTCTCCATCCTTTGTCAAATGATTTGTTCTATTGCATAATGGACCATGTAAGATTATTCAGGTTATCACAGTTGATAAACCTGTTACTGACGGACAAGCTTTTGTACATTGTAATTTGCACACTGGAGTCGTCAATCAACCAGGATGACACATGACATGCAAAATGTGTGCATTAAATACATTTTCCCTGCATATTTGACTTTAGGACCCAGGATAATGAAAAATGACTTGCAATTTTTCATGTTGTATTTTCATGTAATAACTTACTGTTTTAATATCATGTAAAAGTTGAATAAACTTGGTCAATGGCCCTAAATTAAATAGGACACATCAACAAAAACGTGAAATGTCTGAACATCTGGTCAATATATATATATGGTACATACATACCGAAGTATTGATTGTTGTATGGTGAGTCTAAATTGTCACACAAACAAGAGTTGGCGTATACCGTATTTAACATAATAAGGGCATCCCAGTCCTTTTTCTGAAGAAACCCCAGCAGCCTGAAGATACTGGGTTGGGACCAGTTATATCTTCAGTGTTTCTAGGATATTTAGATGCTTCATCTATTTTTCAAAATATTTCTAAATATCCTAGAAACACTGAAGATATAACTTTCAAATTGCCAATCATGGTTTAACAAAAAAAATTCACATGACAATTCCTATTAATTATCTTTGTTCAAACATAATAAACGCCATATAAATGACCCCCAATTTTTGGTTGTTTCAGGCATTTGACAGAACCGCAGTGTCTTGATGTCTTTGACGATATTCCTGAAGTCCAGGAAATCAAGGATTTTATTTTTGTAATTTTGAATACATCAACAATACTATCATATAAATATCTATTTGTATAATTTTATTATAGTTTCCATGGTAACCAGCTGAAATTTGACCAGATCAATGTCTCTGTACAGTTCATGTTTAGAATTAAATCAGTTCTAAAGTACAAGTGCCTGGATTTCAAGCTTTCCTGATAAACAAACCTCTACAACCAACCAGAGGTCGATTGTAAAAAGTGTTTCCCTGTTATGTAAGCCTGCATGACTGTTACAATCACCCCACAAAGACGTCTTTTATCCCAGAACAGCTGTATCAATTAATGTTCGACACGCTCCCCGTTCATCCTAGCAACATGACATCAGCACTTAGCAACAAGTTATTGGCTTTATTTCTACATAAAAGCAGTTTTGAAAATAAACAAAAAAAGACACAGAAACCAGGGAAAATTAATTGAATAAAATGATGATTCCACATCAAATGAAATATCTGTATCACTGCAAGTTCTAGTGACAACATCAACATCGGGTTATATATAGCACTCAATACAAATCAATTTCGAAATGCTTCGAACTTTAGGTCTCATTAGGTCAATAACGTCACACAGAGTTCCACCAATTAAATTCTACAAAGGCCTTCTCAACTTTGAGTTGAATTTAAAGTTTCACTTTTACAAAACCTGAAATGGATTATAAAGGCTTTTGAACGTATTTCCCATTGAAGTGTAATTGGTTGTAAAGTCTACATTGAATATCTAATTATCTGAAATCTGTATCGTCAATATCTTCACTCAAACTTGTATACCTACATACAGTTGTGGTACAATATACCATTACATATTATTATATACCTAGTGAATCTTACTATAGTGATACAGCCAGTTTTATTACATACCTGGTGATCTTACTATAGTGATACAGTCAGTTTTCTTGTATACCTGGCAAATCTTACTACAGTGATACAGCCAGTTTTATTACATACCCGGTGAATCTTACTATAGTGATACAGACAGTTTTATTACATACCCCGTGAATCTTACTACAGTGATACAGCCAGTTTTATCACATACCTGGTGATCTTACTATAGTGATACAGTCAGTTTTATTACATACCCGGTGAATCTTACTAGTGATCCAGTCAGTTTTATTACATACCTGGTGAATCTTACTACAGTGATACAGTCAGTTTTATTACTTACCTGGTGAATCTTACGTTAGTGATACAGTCAGTTGTATTACATACCTGGTGGTGAATCTTACGTTAGTGATACAGTCAGTTTTATTACTTACCTGGTGAATCTTACGTTAGTGATACAGTCAGTTTTATCACTTACCTGGTGAATCTTACTACAGTGATACAGACAGTTTTATTACATACCTGGTGAATCTTAATTACTATAGAGATACAGCCAGTTTTGTCACATACCTGGTGAATCTTACTACAGTGATACAGACAGGTTTATTACATACCTGGTGAATCTTACTATAGTGATACAGTCAGTTTTATTACATACCTGGTGAATCTTAATTACTATAGAGATACAGCCAGTTTTATCACATACCTGGTGAATCTTACTACAGTGATACAGTCAGTTTTATTACTTACCTGGTGAATCTTAATAACTAGAGATACAGCCAGTTTTATCACATACCTGGTGAATCTTACTACAGTGATACAGTCAGTTTTATTAC